ATTGGCTGATAGCAGCACTTCAGATGTCACGCATGTCTTGTGTGCATCACAGCTGACACCATGAAGCACCTGTCTGGCAATGGAACCACTGACATAGGCTACTGAGAACACTTCCCTGTCACCAGCATGTACTGCAGCAACCATGTCCTTCTGTACTTGTTGAGTAACATGGAAACTCAGGAATTTCATCAGGGGTTTCCTTGCCACGACTTGTGGACGGATTTGGTGAAGAAGCATCGGGTGCCCTGAACAATGACTGTAGGTTACACACAACAGTAGCACCATCATCCTCACAACTAGTTCCACACAGACCTCTGATAGCAAGTGCACTGATGATGTTAGTCTTCAGGGCATCTACAAACTGTCCCACAGTTGGATTATTGTTCAAACCAGACTATGAACACATAGCTTCAAATGTGCTGACAAGGTGATCACCAAATAGCTGTTGCCAGGTATTCACCACAGCACACCATTGAAAGAACATTAAAAAGGAAATTAGTGGGCTTCCTTACATGATAGACTCCTTCAGATTTGAAAATAACACACTTTACTTGAAAGGGACTGCCATTATAAAGATTTTGTATATTTCATTAAATTATTCCACATAGCAGTTGTCACCACCTTATTCTCTTATAAATCATATTACTGATAGTGTGATCTGCTTTTCAAACATTTTTAATTATCCTAAAAACATCTGACATATCCTACATAACTTGTGTATTGATAAGTTTGTATTGTAGCATCCCGTTGCACCCTTCCATTTTATTATAAATCTTATTTTACAGTCTTATGTGAAACGATTTATTAACTTTAAGTTTAAAATTTAAAACTTAAAAAGTTGCACAAACGACAGTAAAATGAGATTTATAATAAAATTGTATATTGATGTTCAGTTTCATAAGTAATGAATGATGACAATGACATTTGTTTGATCACAACTGGGTTCTTGGGACAATTACTTCAAAAATTAGCTCTCATTATTCTCGCTAGCCACTTCTCTCATAACAGAATTTGTAATATAGACTGCAGTGGTCCTTACCTGTAGCCACTACAGTGTTGTGACTTGCTGCAATGATTGATATGCCTGAGTTCCCCACCAGAAGCATTTATATTTACAGGGCTTAGGAGAAACGAGGTTTCTTTCACTGCAAAAGTTGGTGGCTGCTGTTGGTAATGGTTGCACTGCAAACATTTTAAAGAAAGTGGAAGAACCATGTGCATGGATAGGAATATGTGTTACAGGGGATGGCACCAGTGACTTGTAGGTGGTGGGAAATACAACATGAGTACAGTCTTCCTGAGGCAAGGGATTCAAGGAAGGGACAGGAGATTGTGGGCATGACTGTGTAGCAGAATCTGAGTCACATGGAACTACCACTACCCTTTCAGCTGTAGTGAAATCACTTTCCAGGAAATGTTTGCTGCACAAATATTTATTGTGCAGCATTCTAGCAGAATCAAGAGTTCCAATGGTGGTTTGATCTATTATGGGTTCTTCGAATACAATGGATGTGCTACTGGGTAATTGGTCCAGATGAAAATTCAACTTGTCTTTTTCGCGAGAGATTCTGGTTGGTTTTGTGTCATCGAGAAGAAGTTGGAGGAGTAGAGATTTGCCAGTGTTTGCTGACCCTTTAATAACGAGGCTGTTTATTTTCGGTAATGCCAATGAGTGTATAACGATGAATTTCGCGAAGAAATCAGATATGTCAATTTGGTTGGAACTGAAGAGGTCTGTAAGCCATGTGACATTAGTTGGAATGACATCGGAAGGAGAGTAGTTGTCTACGATGAGTTGGAAGTAATGCTTAGATTTTATTTGTTGTTGTTTTTCTGTGACAAAGATTTTGATTAGTGTCTTGATAATATTCTGGCTGACATAGCCCATTTGCTTGAGTAGTTGTATTTTGGTAGGCGTAGGAACTTTGTGTTGGAAGTCTTCAAATGATGTTATTTGATGTTGTTGGATGAGGTCGGAAATGAAGTCAATAGAGAATGTTCTTGTATTTATAGTTTCTTTTGAGATTTGTTTCTTCTCTTCGGTGTAGATCGAACAGGGTTCGAATGATGCAGAGTCGGTGGTATCAGAAGCAAGGCAAGCTGTGATCTGTTTGAGGATTTTCATTTGTTTACTTCCATACTTGTAGAAGTTTCTGATACCTTTATGAAAGAGATACGCCAGGAATTTGTCAAGGAAGCGGACTGGTTGTGCTGTTGTATGAGCTTCTGCAATTCCTGGGTAGCTACATCCAAGGAAGGTGAGGATGTTAGTAAGAGCTCTGTTGCTGTTGTTGGATTGGGCGATGGTGTAGATGAAGTGGATGTGGTCGCCGTGGTCAAATGCTGTGAAGGTTGGGGATCTTCCTGCTGTTGGTGGAGGGATGTTGGGGATGTTGATGTTGACTCGGACGGATGTGTGTCATGATGTGAGTAAACTGCATCCTTTGAAGTGGAGGGAGCGGGTTGGTTGTTAGGAGGGCTTGTCTCTCTTGCCTTGTTTCGAGGTGGGCTGTTAGTAGGCGAGTTCGGTCTGGAGAATCCATCTCTTCGTAATCGTTTGTGATGGACTGCTCTTGATAAATGAGTTTCACTGGTTGAAGGTTTAATATCTCAATGGTCTGAAGGAAGATTTGCTGTCTGAGTTTTCTGCTTGATGTGTTTGTTAATGATATGAAAAGTTTTTTTGTGTTGATCATGTGTCTGTGAACTTGAAAGTGTGATCTTAACTGAATTAGAGGCTCTGGGACTGCTGAGTGGTGGTGAAGGGAGTCTTATCATTTGGATCAGGGTTGGGGGTAATGGGTCTTCCACATCCTGAAACAACATCGCTATTAGGATATAATGTCGGGGTGGGAGAACTATCCTTTTGTTCTTGGGAGTTGTGAAAGTTATGAATTCCCTGCCGTCCGTTGTTTGGTTTGTCCAAGTTAGTTGAGACATTTGGCAAAGTTGAGATATTTACCTTAGAAGAGCCGTAGTTTTCTTGTGGTGGAATTTCGTAGTCTTGATAGTTGTCTTCTCGTCCAAATGTGTCCCCAGCTAGTAATCTGGATGTTACGTTGCTTCGCAGAGGTTGGAGTCTTGACACTGTGCCAAGTAGGGACAGCAGATATGACAGTTGCACTGTGATTTGTAATGAGCACAAATGCAATGCATTACTGAATGTTGATGGTGATGGTACTCTTATTTATAAAAGCAATAGTGTATCTGGAGGGGGGATGCTATGGGTCTTGCATCATTAAGTTGGAATGAAGTAATGGCAGTTACATCAACGAGAACACATCATCGACATCAATGCCAATGAAAAGAACCCGATGTTGATAAATGAGGGGTTATCGCAATGTCATAGACGCGATGTGATCAGCGCACGTGTGCGCAGCTATGGTGTCACACTATGACAGCAATTACTAATTGCCCATAGCCGCGTACACGTGCGCTGATCACATCGCGATAACCCCTCAATTATCAACATCAACATCAACTCCTTCACGTTCAACAGTCAATCTTTAGGATAAACCGAAAGGTGCAGAATATATCATAAAACAAATATCGTTTAGACGACGGTTCACGATAACCTCAAAAATTTTAGGCTCGAAAGAATTCTACGTTTCTAATTTAATTTGTCGTAGTAAGCATACTATTCATATACACAAATAATATGTTTAATATGGAGCTGTAATTTCGTTTGCAAATGTCTACTTTCGTTTCGCAACCACATCAAATCAAAATTCATACTTACCAATTTGCCTATATTGATCCACCATAACCGCATATAATTGTGGGTATTCAAATTGATTTGTTTAGGGGTCGAGACGGTCGAGACCTGCGTGAGGTTTCTTCCGCCGTGTTTCCTTTCCTCCTAGACCCACCTGATCGTACCTGATTATTAGTACGCCCGGTTTCTTCCGCTCTGAATTTCGCGCATGTTAAATGGTAGTCACGTCACGTCACTGCATAAGAGTTTGGGCATGAGAGAAAACAGTGTAACTTTGATATTGTTTTGTATCTGTCATTATTAGTAGATAATAAAAGTTAATGCCAGTACTACCTTTTAGTTCGTCGTAGGACTAGTGAGATAGTGGCAGTTTCGCTTAGAAATAAAAGTCGGAATGCTGACTGAATCCACTTTCAGTTCTAGTGAAAGTATGTTTCCTAACCGCACGCGCCCTAGGCTGATAGTGGGCTGCTGATGTCGCTGAAATGTAGGGCGATAAAGAGCAATAAAGAGGTTGCGGGTTGGGTAGTGAGAGTTGGCATACATTCGACCTGTATTCAAGACTCGAATGTGTTTATAGCTGACGTTTCAATTGAAAAGTGGCGATCCCATTATAGCTTCATACATTCCAGTGTGCATTAAATGTGAGTATTCTTGGTGACATTTCCTAATTTAATATTAACATTGGTGTAATTTTTAAGCTTTTATTGTGGCCGGAAGAACATTCAGTATAAATATAACCCATTGTAATGTAATTTGTTAAGTCTTCGATCTTATATTCGTAAGAAAATCGAATATACGCATGACCGACCAACAGATTACAGCCCTACAGTTTTCAGTCCTATGAAATATATAATATGTTACTGGTATTGTATTGATTTCAGAAATTTAAATTCTCAAGTACTGTACCGTATAAGATCCGTGGCATGCCAGAAATGAATGCAGTTCTAAAATTTGAAGTTACAAAAAAAGAACTTGTGCTTCATTACATTATTCTTATTTATATGAGTAAGGTTTGATTTTCTCAACCAGTTATTGCCCGAAAATTCCATAGCAATCAGAGACAGAGAGAGGCCCTTGAATAAATTACAGTTTTGTGTTATTTGAGTGCTGTATTGGTTTTATCAGTAGACTGACAGTCTTATACAGGTGCAGTGATTGTTAACTGTGAGACATGAAAATTATGAAGTACTGCAGTGAACATGTTGGTGTGAAGGTGACACTCTAAGACTTGTATTTGAGAGCTGTTCAGTTCAAATGTCAGCTGGGTTACTGGCTGTTCTGACTGAGGTTCTTTGTGTTTTGCCTCAGTCCCTTCAAGCCCATGACCACTTCCTTCAAAATCCTTTACAGTTAATCAGTTGTACTACTGTCCAATGCTAACATAGTCTCAAAACTGAAAGTACTATTAAATAAGCCTTGCATACTGAACTGTAATATTCCTTCCTTTTTTTGGCTGCTACTTTTCCTCCCACTAAGTATTTATTTCCCATCTGCCAGCTAGTAATGTTTCTGACTTGTATTTGGGAGGTGCCCATTTTGAATCTTACCATATTTTCAGAATGTTACTCCATTCCTTCAGGAAATCCCAGGATAGTAATTGAAATTAGACCACAGCTATATCCTTCCACATGGTACCAAATTCACTAATCAGCCTATCATTTGATGCTGTATAGTCTGAACTACCCACTGTGCCATTAAATAAATGCAAGAGAGTGTTATGATATGATATTGCTATTTGGCAGATACTGTGAATCTTAAGAATGGTACATACACATTCAAGCTCTGGAAATCTGAGGACCACTCACATTACATACACAACTTCAGACAACGGAGAGGCCACAGCAGATTTTCAGCCATGCAGTGTCACACAGAAAAGGACAGATGTCACTTACTCTACTACAAAATCCACAATTGTGAGAAGGAAAGTGATCAGTTCTTCAGAGTCGAATAGTTCATCCTCCTCCAGTCATTCATCTGGAAGCCTGAGGACTCATCCTACAGTTTATATTGTGTTTGTATCCTTGTTGCTGGATCTTCTGGCATTCACAATGATCCTGCCCCTTCTTCCATCTCTTCTTGATCATTACAGCCTTAATGACAGCCCTAAGGGCCTTTATCCATGGTTGCTAAGGAAGGTACAATATTTTCAAGAATTGGTTGGTGCCCCTGATAGGTTCAATTCTGTTCTTTTTGGGGGTAAGTAGAAGTTTATTTATGAAAATAATTTATAATTTTATGATACCCAATTTGATATCTGTATGAATATATGTAAAGTAAAGGTATCCCTGTAACAGGCCATGGAGGCCCATAGGGATGTGAGAAGTTGAGGGTCTCACATTATTTAGACCAAGGGTCTCCAAACTACAGCCCCCCCCGGGCCACATGCGGCCCGCGATGTGATTTTATCCGGCCCGCAAAAGAATTGTGCATAAATGCACCAATGAGGACTGGTAAAAAAATACTTGTGGATAGATTTCAAATTCATTAATTAAGATTGTGTTTAAAATATATCGATATTCCATATTATGTTAATATTAATGTTATTCACAATTTTACTAATTCTGGACCATATACTGCGCGGTATTTCTTCGTACTTGTTCGGCCTCGATCGGCAGTGTCACTTCGTGGCAATGTAGGTAGCGCAAGCAGTTCGTTACACAAGACTCCTTGCAGTGGTGCAGTGTAATTGTAACAGATCATCATCACCTCAATTTAATCAGATTTTAAGAATGCAAAAAGAGTTCCATCATTCACATTAATTGTTTTATTACAATATGTGATGAACATATGAGCATTTGCTGCTATTGTCTGCTGTCATTAATATACGTTAATTTATTCTCACGTACTTTGTATTTAGTTTATGAAATTCTGTGCTTTCAATAAAACTCATATACCTAGAATTATTAATTTATTATTTTATCTGGCCCGTTGAAAGTGCTGAATTACCTAATGTGGCCCACATTTTGAAAAGTTTGGAGACCCCTGATTTAGACAATCGACTAACAGATGGTGGTAAGGTTGTCAGCCTTACGCACCGGCTGCACTTTACTCCCCAGGGAAAGTATTTACTGTATTTACGCATGTATAGGCCCCGTGCATGTATAGGCCGCAGCACAATTTTCAGACAGAAATTATAGAAAAAATAATTTTCTTGGAATATTATTTCAGGAGTAGAAATTATTCCGAACTTTGGCAAAGTTATTTTTTTTTTAAATGAAGTGTGATTTCGAATATTTCGAATATAAGCAGTACCCCAGTTTTCCTCTTGAATTTTTGTCAAAAAATGTGCGGCCTATACATGCGTAAATACGGTAATTAATTCCTGGTACTCATTTGTGTTAGAGGCTTAATCGACCCCAGGGCCATAGTACAGCTGGAAGGATTAGGTCAATTGAAAAAAAAATCCACTGACCTCATCGGGATTTGAACCTGCGACCTTCCGGCTTGTAGCATAGTGCCTCAACCAACTATGCTACCGCAGTCCCGGTGAGGTCATTGGATTTTTTCAGTTGATGTAATCCTTCCAGCTGGACTATGGCCCTGGGGTCGACTCAGCATCGAACAGTAATGAGTACCAGGAATTAATTAAATAATTTTCCTGAAGACTAAAGCATGGCCGGCTCGTAAGGCTGACAACCTTACCACCATCTGTGAGCCAATTGTCTAGGTAATGTGGGACCCTCAACGTCTCTCAACCCTGTGGGCCTCCACGGCCTGTTACAGGGATACCTTTACTTTTACGTATGTATTTATGTATGTTTGTGCTCACATAGGAGTTACTTTCAGCGTCTCATGAATAGCATTAATCATGAAATGGTCTTGACAAATACAGCACAGCACAGCAGGTGAACGGTAGTTCCTATTGCTTCACCTGCCAGCAGTGCAGGTTTCATCAAAACCAATCTGTTCCCCCACTCTTAGTCACTCTCTGCCTTTAGAAGTGGTCAAATCTTCTCTTCTGCAGTGTATAAAACTCAGTTTGTTATATGATTCAGTTATTGTGTTTCTGGACACCAACACAAAATAGGATAGATATATTTTTAACAACAATGGCAGTGAAACAGTGTGTGGACATATGTGCTAGGCCTCGTGTGTGTGTGTGTGTGTGTGGAGTTATTTTAACGTTTTTTATGTCTGTCTTTACTCTCGCAGATGGTTTGTGCTGTGCTTGGTTTATGTATCCTATCTTCTGTTGATGCTGGTGTTCAAAGACAGGGACTAGCTTTGTCGATTAGGCCGAACTGAGTAGGTTCCATCTGAAAACAGAGACAGAGTCAATTCTCAGAAACATTGTGCTTTAAATAAAAAAACAGGATGGTGGATAATGTCCAGAAACATAATAATTGTATTAATACGCCATTGTCACAAACTTTTGGATTTCGTTGTATGATTGCTTGCACTATTAGAGTATATAGACCTTGAGGAAAACATTGAAATAAAGACTTTCTGTTTCACCTTAAGTGGGTGGTACCAATAAGTGTTGAGGATTTAGTGGGGTATGGTATGTGAGAATGTATAAACATGGTTCTGGAATCCAGATATGCCTGCTGTTTGAACAGGCCATCATGCTGTTGTAATGTAATATATTACTTATGATGGGGTGCTGTAGGACCACCTCTGTGGTCTAGTGGTCAGAAATCCTGGCTATAGATGCAGAGGTCCAGGTTCGATTCCTGGCACTACCACATTTTCTGAGAAGTAGTGGGTTTGGAATGGGGTCCACTCAGCCTGGTGAGGATAATTGAGGAGCTATTTTAAGGAAATAGCAGCTCCGGTCTATAAAACAGAAATTAATGGCCATGGGGATCCATTGCACTGACCACACAACACCCTCTATCTGCTAAAGTTAACACTAACTTCTCCAAAAGGCAGTGGTTGCTTGGTCAGTATAATTTGCTTGCGGACTAAAACCACAGATTTTGTGTGTGTGTGNGGGGAGTGCTATAGTTCAGGTGATCAGCACAGAGCCCTGGCTCCAGTTCAGGTGATCAGCACAGAGCCCTGGCTCCATTCCTGGATGACCCAATTTGAGATTCGTGGCATTAGAGCAGGTTTTTCTTGGGTTTTCTCCTGCTAATCATCATTTTGTTGTTGTTCCATACTCATCCATCAGTGGCCCCTGAGGTGTGTGATAGCTCTGACTAGGCAGCGCAGTGTCATATCCTGGGTCTTTAACATGGGGCTTCAACCCTGGCTCTGAACTTGGCCAGATACAGAGTGAAGCAGTTTTTTTAGTCATTCAGGGGGAAACTACATCTATATGGCCTAAGGATGACCAAGTAAATGGCTTATAACATATTAACCAGGAAAAGGTATGCTAGTGGACACAATTTATGCTTATTAACACAGCCATAAACATATTTATTTGAAACATAAGAAACAAGAATGTGTCACAAAGAAATGAAGAGTAATAATAAAGGATGGCTTAACAAAGCAAATACAAATTCTAGAATAGCTTTACAAGATGGCACTCAAATACAATAAATAATTACTGTCTCATTTTCTAGGATTTCTAGGCTCAATGTTCTCGTTTCTTCAGTTCGTGGCATCTCCTCTGGTTGGTGGTTTGTCAGATGTTTATGGACGTAAGCCAGTTATGCTTATTTGCCTTGTAAGTTCATGCCTTTCTTTGGTGAGCCTCTTAAATTCTATTCATATGTATTTAGTGATGGATGGAATTTTCTTCTCATGTGTTTGAATTTTCTTGCTATAACAGATTGGAATTGCATCTTCCTATGTTTTGTGGGCATTGTCAAAAAGTTTTGCATTGTTTGTGTTGGCAAGAATTGTTGGAGGAATCAGCAAAGGCAATGTCAGTCTCTCGATGGCCGTGATAGCCGACGTCTCGTCGTTAGCAACTAGGGGACGGGGTATGGTAAGTCGTGCCTGCTTTAGTATTCTTGGAAATGACATTGTGTAGTTCTGTAGACAGGGACAACTGTTTCAAGGGAACCTTCTGTTTCTGTCTTCAACTTAGAATTCTTCCACCATTCTTCTTTTCCTTAAAGATGGAAACAGCACCTACCAAACTGCAAAACAGTGTATTTCATGTGCCCATTATATTAACATTCATTGCTCTGAGACCTTCACATCTCATTATAGGTAATATTTAGTATATTCCTGTCAGCACAACACTTTCCAGCATGTGGAGTTCGCTATCTAGGGTGCCATGTTTCAGCACTTGTTTGCCATCTTCAGGTCTCTCGTTTTTAGTTACACACAACAATAGAGGAAGCTGTGTTTTCTGTAGATCTGGCTGAGCACCAGTAGACTGGCTGGATAGTGATCATGTGATACATGTTTACTGTAGGTCCATGTCTGTTCCGCAGCTACATAACTAAGAGTGGCAGATAAGCGGCCTCCGTAGTCTAGGGGTAACGTTCCCACCTCATGACTCAAGGTACGCGGGTTCTCAAACCCGGCGGAGGTCGTGGAATTTTTAAGGGCGGAAAAATTCAGGGAACAAGTCCTCCGGGAGGGACTTTAAGCCGTGTGTCCCGTGTCGTAGATTTACGGCACGTAAAAGAACCTCATGTCTCTAAGAGACCGCTGAGCTAAATTAGGCCCAACATTTCCCACCCAAAGTAGTATCCAATGCCTCCGGTAGATGGGGAAGTATTAGGTACCACTGCCAGAGGAGGGATGACCTCTCTGACAGAAAGGGACTAAAGTATTAGATACCACTGCCAAGTAGAGGGTAGAAACCTTGCTGGCAGAAAGGGAATAGGAACCCCTGCCAGAGGAGAGACAACCTCGCTGACAGAAAGGGACTAACTATTAGATACCACTGCCAAGTAGAGGGTAGAAACCTTGCTGGCAGAAAGGGGCTAATAGCGAGCACCAGTACCGGTAGGGGATGGAGACTGTAGAAATTAAAAGGGGGACGTACAATAGACTATCAGTCGCGGTGCATGGGGAAACCCACCCCCTCAATACTGAATCACTGAAGAGTGGAAGAATTCATTTAGGACAGTTATGAGTGAGTTGTAGTGGCAGAAGCACACAAACAAGTGGATAGCTTTAAGCTGGAGGAGTACAGCAAGCAAGCAGTAAGCTTGAGGAGCACAGAAGAGTACAAGAAGTCAGCCTGTGAAGACTTAACTTTTGATTTGGAGACTTTGTATATGGTATAGTGCAGTGATATTGTGAGTGTGATTTAGTGAGACTTTTATAGTTACTGTGTTATAAATCCATGAACACTGAAGAGATTAGCTTGGAGTGCTTTGTAGTGTGAAAATCATTAACAGTGTCATAATTAATTGTACTTAATGGGGTGTAAGGTGGGCAAGGATGGACTAGAATTGTTTGGCTGAGGATAGACATGTGGGATCTTGTGAACACAGTAATGATAAGCATGGAATATCTTGGGAAGCTGACTGATAAAAACTTCTTGAGTAGCAACTCTCCTTCATAGAGTTAGTTGGCTTCATGTTCATATTTGAAAGTGTCGAGTACACTTTGTGGTAAGTAGAGAGCTGCTGTCTTCCCTCTGCAGTGCAGTGAATGAAGAGTAAATCCAGACTAAACCTTGAAATGTTCATGAATTATGTAGTTGCCCTACTTCCTGTTGGTACAGGAAGTGTCCAATTAGTTGCAGACAGTGATTACTACATATTGTGTTTTCATATTCAGCTTTTTCTTCCTGCTCATCCTATGCAGCAGTCCTCCCAATTGACTGAAGGTGAATGTCAATTTCCTGTCCTTTATCTTTATACTAAAAAAAGACATGAATAATCAGAACATTTTGTGATAAATATTCTGTGAGATATTCCCAGAAACATGTAGATTTCCATGTAAAGTCATCACTAGAATTGTTCAATTCTAAATGAAAATCGAAATTTTTCAATAATTTTTAATGAAGTTCTCCAACATCAAATTCCATCAAAATTCACCTTCCAGTCTTTTAATTCTTTCTTGTCTGTAGACAGACGGACAGACAGATTGAGTTTACTTAGCAGTTGCTCCGTAGGATTCCAGACATGCCATAAAGGGTGTATGGATAAGCAGAAACCAGATAATCAGTGCATAGTTAATTTGGAGTATACTGTCTTTGGCAAACATTATTTTATTATTGTTAAAATTTTTGGAAGTAAGTTTTCATTCTGGTGCAGAAATGGGATGGAAATTGTGTATATTGGTAAAGAAATCGTGATATAAAATTATTTGTGACTACAGAAAGTTTGTCAGTATATTGTGCTTTAAGCAGGCAGCCTTACAGAAGAAAATTCCTGTGTGTTCAAAATCTCCACAACACTTTCATTTTGATTCCTAGTGTATATTGTAAATATAGTCTAGTAACTGTCTTTGTCACTGTTTGATGATCATGCACCTGTGAAGATGTTTTATACTGAGAACAGTAGCAAGATATAAGATTATTGTTAAACTCTTTATAAAGCATGTTCATTTGATGCTATATAATGTGACATTTTGAAAACTTTGTTAAATAAACCATGAATAAATAAATGACATATTCTGTATGAGGATAAAGATGACCGACCATCTTGTTTTCTATTCACTTTTAATCGGAGTCTTGATTTTTCTGAAGGTAAGCTGTCATAGAAGTTAACTTTCACTACCACACTATACAAAGATAATTTTGAAAAGTGCTTTATTTCTTATAATAATTACAAAACGGCAAAGCTTGAATAGTGGAAATTATTAACTTTGTCTTGAAACCATATTTAATGAGCTAGTTATTGTTATTGTCATTACTGCTTTATTTTAGAGACCTTGATGAATTGTAATATGTAAGGCATGAAATGTGCTCTGTTTCAGGCATTGGTTGGTATTGCATTTTCTGTGGGTTTCATAATTGGACCAGTCATTGGAGCCATGTTCGCCCACTGGTCACATGGACAGTCTGGAGACTGGTTTGTTGTTCCTGCACTTTTTGCCCTCTGTCTGGCATTAACTGACGTGGCATTCGTGCTGGTGTGCTTCAAAGAAACTTTACCCAAGGTGTGTCAAAAGTGGAATTTATTTGTACAGCCCTTACATCCTATAAATTATATTTTTTAAGTAGAAATATTGTTGAGGAGTGCTATCTTTGGAGGTGTGACACCATGTAGTCTGGTAGAAATTTACCAACATTTCAGAGGAGTGCCTTCATATTCAGGGTTGAAGATATTCTAAGCAAGCAGAAAGTGCTGACCATGAAGATGGATGCAGTATATTCCTCCATACATTAGTCAGCTTCTGCCAGATTACACGGCACCACATCCTGCACCCATTGTAGGCATTGTTGTGAGAATTTCATGTTCACTGGAGATAGAGCTGTACGTTACATGGGTGTTTTAAAGTATATTCATGTCATAACATTCCAGATAGTATAGTACTGTCTTCTGGGATGTACCATGCTATGTAGTGTGGTAGAAGAACACAGAAATTTGAGAGGCATCTACTTCCTCCATCTTCAGGGATGAAGCGTAAGCTGAGCAGAAACCAGCAAGACATGCTGAAGATGGAGGCTTAGACGCTGGTGTACTTCTGCTGGACTACACAACGCTGTATGCTAGAAGCTACTGTTAATACTCAACCTAGTCACTGCTGTGGGAACCTGGGATTCCATTACCTGTATGAGATTTAGTTTTCATAGCAATGAAGATGATATTGTTATCACTGTGCAGTCTGGTAGGGTGACACTGGTGCTGCCACCAGAGGTAGAACATTCCACCTAAACATTTGTACCTGTTTACTGGATTACATAATGTTACGTGGGTTCTTCTGTACATTACGGTCAGTATCTGAATTATGTAGCATCAAATGGTAGGATACTAGGTGAATGATGAATTGGAAAGAATTTCTTATGAAGTTGTCATGACCTAATCAAAGTACTATCTCAGACTTTTCCTGGAAGGCCTGAGGCTGGGATAGCTGGTGCCCTGGCTGATTCAAACCAAGCTTCTCCCAAATATGAATCTACTTCATTATTGTTATACCATCCCATTCAGATATGCAGCATCACATCACAGAAGGCCATACTTTTTATATTCTCTGCCCAGTCTTAATAATCACCAGTTATATGATGGTCATATTTACTTTGTTACTGTAGGAAAAGCGAGCTCGGTCATTGGCTGGAAGTCTGGCCCAGGCAACAGCTTACATCAGTCTGCCAGATCTCTTCCGTTTCAAGGCAGTCAAGAATATTGCACGTTCTGGTATGTCGGGTCTTAACTAAATTCAGTGATTTAAAACAAATCTGTCTGACGTTTGCAAAATGTGTACCATACACACAAGCACTCAAAGGAATGATATCACTTTTAACATTACTGTGTACTGGCTCATAATTTGTAGTTCATATGCATTTCCTGAGCAAAACTTCATACCGTAGTTTTGTAAATTTGTGATAAAGATGTTGTTAAACTGATCCCCCCCTCCCCCATTTTTCTGACATTTGTATCTTCCCTCTTTTGTTTTAAAAATGTGTTGTTTTGGAAGGTGGTTCTGCTGCCATCGTCAAAAATATGAAACTCATTGTTTTGGGTCCATTAGGTGAAGTTAATGTACGCATATCCCCAGCCTGGGAAGCCAGGTTGGACAATGTTCTTTAACCAAAAGAATTGGATGGGAAATGTCCAAAATATATGCAGTTCAGACTTTATATATTCATTTCTGTTACCATATGTTTTTTATTTACAAGAACTTGACAAAAATTGAATGTGATTTTGTTATTTATACAAAAAAATGTGTCTCATTTCAGTTTACTGAGATATCAGATAATGGTCTTCACAATTCTTTTCAGATCTTGCAGAATTGCAGCAACTTGGCTTCATATACTTTGTCTACTTGTTCCTGTATTCTGGTCTGGAGTTCACACTAACATTTCTGACACATCATACATTCAGCTATACATCAATGCAACAGGGGTGGATGTTCTTTGTGATTGGTCTCACCATGGCTGTCATGCAGGGTGGTTATGTCCGCCGGCTTCCTGAACATAAGATTAAACCTACAGCCGTATTGGTTAGTACTTTCATGACTGCATGCTCAGCTAATAGTATTTTCTTCCATAATACCAAACAGATCTCTCTGTCTTCATTTCTGTACCATGTACATTCTTGTTATTTTGTGTTCATCTGGCAAGAGGTTCATTCAGATGAAACCTGTTCCAGGATTGTTCTGGTTGAAAGAGTAGTGAAGTTATCCATGTGTTTAACTAATTCAGCACTATGCTGTGAAAGCATATGATGGAAGGGATGTATAGATCCACATATTCTTGACCACAGCACTAGTTACAGTTGAATGGTCAGCTTCATGCCCCTGCTGCTTTGCCTCCAGGGAAAGAGCCCCCACTACCCAATGTATAGGAGGCATGGTGGGTCCCAGAACCATTCAGGACAATGTGGAGAGGAGAAAATCCTGCCCCTACCAGGACTCAAACTCCAACCCCATGGTTGAAGGCGTAGAGGCTATTAAAATATACCCTGTGGGCTATGGAGCAGGACTCAATTGACTGAGCCACTCCTGTTTGCCTTAAAACACCCATTCCATTGCAAAGCTTGTGTTTGCCTGCTGGTGGTAAGCATTCAGAGTCACATGAACACCTCCCTATTTTCTAGCAGTGCCATGAGTTTAACCGTTAAATGTATGAAAATGTAACATCCCCCCCCCCTTTTTTTTTGCCTCAGGCCTAGGGGAGAACACCATAAATACTATGAAATTTACTCCATACCCTTGCCAGTATATACGTAACCATGGCTGTTTAAGTGAGGTGCAGGTATTATGGTAGAGTTTCTGGATTTGAGTGTTATTCCTTTTTTAAAATTTGACAGGTAAAGCAAACAGTGAACAGTAGCTTTACAGTAGGAAGAAAACCTACACGTCTCAAATGTAACTTGTTAATTAATTATTGGAGTGAGAAATATCTTGCACGAAGGTTTAAGTGAAATATGAAACACATTTTCCCCTAAGCCTGAAAGTTCTGAGGAAGTCAAAGAAAAGTGAGCAGATACATCAGAATTGTTAGCATGTGCATATATTTCCTAACTATATATCTGTTTTTCAGGGTCTTTTGCTTATAGTTCCTTCTTTCATCTTCGTGGGTCTGGCATCTTCGCCCATACTGCTCTATGTCGGACTCCTGTTTTTTGCAATATGTAAGTATAGGTCTGTAGCTCTTTTAGTTGTCCATTAGTATTGTTCACTAAATATTAGAATTTTCACATGGAGGAAATCGAAGTGGGTTTAAACATTGCTGGAAGATATTTCCATACTTTGGCCTCTCTTTCATGTACAATGATATTTGTTTTTTCTTTCTTGTGTAAAGGTAAATTTCGTTTTGAAAGAATTCTGAGGAAAAACTTCAGTGGTAGGGAGACAATGCATAAAAACAAAACTAACTCATGAATCAGATTTGTTCTTGCAAGCTGATAGTTGATGAGATAATAAATTCCCCACTTTTTATGTAAACCAAAAGTTTATTATTCGTGTTCACTACAACCCTCCATTTGACCATATCCCAAGCCAGCTGAATCTCTCCACACTTCCCATCCCATTTCTTTTAAGATCCGCTTATCATCTTGACTATGACCATTCTCCAAAGCTGTATTCTCCCTGTCAGATTTCCTAAAATTGTGTACACATTTCTTGTCACTGTAGTACATGCCACAATTTGCACCAATCTCATCCTCTTGGATTAGCTCAGTATATATATATATGAATTTCCTCATTACTCTGTTTTCTCCATTTTTCATTTCTTCCTCTCTTGTAGGTGCATTCTTCAGAGCACTTTGTTTTTGGTTTTAAAAAACATGCTTATTATGGATTCATGTATCCATGACCTATTCTTTCACAGTTCTGTTTTACAATTTATGAAATGTCAGTCATTTGAACTTTGTAACTAACCTGTATGAACTATATCTTGTTTCAGCCACAGCAATGGTTGTACCATGTATGATGACTCTGGTTTCAAAGCTCGGCTCACATGACCAGAAAGGGACTGTGATGGGTATTTTTAGATCACTTGGAGCATTAGCCCGAGCTCTTGGGCCGATAGTTGCAAGTATAGGTATGTTGTAGTTGACAGTACAATTTGCCGTGTGATAGTTATATTTTATTTCTATTTTATCATCTCACTATTTTGACATGGTTGTACTAGTAAAGAGAAAGTTGTTTTATGCTTCCCTACATGACATGAAAACGTATGGGGGAGTGGAGGTGTGGATACAAGCATCTCTAACCTCTGCATTAGATGGGGGTGAATGATTAGGTTTGATGCCCTGGTTCATTTACCCCCAGGGAAGGAGCCCTCTGCAGCTATTCTGTAGAAGACTGGGTGAGCCCCAAAGCTGGCCAAAATGCTGTGAAGTAAAGAGGAATCTCTTGCTTCTCCCAGGTGTCAAATCCCAGTTCGTTTGTCACTTAATCCATAACCTAGTCACTATACTGACTGAGCTATCCAAGCGCTTAATTGTAGTGAAAACAACGAAATTGGCACAGAGAAGTATGATGGAACTTTGACATAACTGTATTCTAAGGGGCACACTAGTGTAATTGGTTGAAGCACTGTGTCACAAGCCGGAAGGTCATGGATTCCATTCCCAATGCAGTCATTGGATTTTTCAATTGACCAAATCCTTCCAGCCCCACTATGACCCTGGACTCAACTCAGGCTCTGACAGAAATGAGTACCAGGAATCTTCCTGGGGGTAATGGGCGGCCGGCCGGCCGGCACGTAAGGCTGACAACCTCACTGCCATCAGTTAGCCAGTTATCTAGAAGTGGGATCCTCAACATCTCACAATCCTATGGTTCTCCACAGCTTGTTGCAGGGACAGCTTTACCTTAACGTTTTTGCTGTATCCTAACGTTTTTCATCCAAGAGGATGTTTTTTTCTTTAAATCTTCTGGTGTTTAAGGGGCTGACATTCATGTTATAAATTGGGAATAAAGAAATTAGTATTGAAATAATGCAACACAGCTTGCAAAGGGTAACCCAGTCACTTCCTGATTTAAATATTTTCACAGCAATGGAAGCTTAATCCTTGAAGCCATGTGTTCCTGCTCTTCGAAAATATGAGGCAGAACCGCTGTGAATATCTGAATGCAATACAGGCACATGTATGGGTGATTACATAGAGTGACTAGAGGCCATTGTAAGACTATAAAGCCATGGAAACGTCTGTGACTGTACCATGACTGCAGAAATCAGCTCACTTATTTGAGAAGAAGCAATTGAGATATTTTCTGAATGTTTTGCTTAAAAATGGATTTTCGCTTCTTTTTATCTGTATTTTTAAATTTCTAGTTAACAATTTACATAAAGAGATGTTAGCTCAACTTGTTTCCAAACATGTTTAAATTGCTGTTCCATACCTGTGATTTTGCTGTTTGTTCAGGCTTGTAGTTTGTTATTCATGGCGATATTTTGAAATTTAATGACTTCTGGATAAAGCCTCCAAAATGGTCTCTTCCATACCTGCTTCTTGTCTCTACCATGCTTGTTATATGTTACATCCATTTCATACTCCTTTATTTGATCACCCTAATATTATTTTGTCATTATTCTGAATGTATAATAATTTGTTGTTATTCTTTATTAGCATTTTGGAGTATTGGTTCTACGGTGACGTACCTTGTGGGAGGTATTGCTCTGCTCTGGCCTTGGATGCTACTCAGGAGAAGTAGCATAGTTTAACCTTTAGTCTATCAAGCCTGGCCATAGCACTACCTGTTGCAGAGGCCAAAGCTTCTTGGCAGTAAATGCCGTTGCACAGAAAAACTCACAAATGACCACAAGAGTAGACAATGTGAAGTATGTACTTCATTCTAGACGTCAGTGTATCATGCTTGATGCCATCTATTGACAGAATGCAGTACTAAATGGTTAACATCGACTAAATATCTTCATCAGGTTCACTGAACCGATGTAATCGGCTCATGGCATGCAGAGAATTCAGCTGTGTATTACATCAGTTTTGTACAATGATATCTGTACTTTTGTAAGAAATATAGTAAGTGCTTGAAGGTTTCTGACAGTGGTTGAATATTGTCTGAGACATTGCTCATTATTTGAAGGATATTTGGTATGTACAACATTTTGAGAGTGGGTTCATTTTGGTCATCAGGTGTAAGGGGCCAAGGGATTGTACTCAGGTGGTCCCATTAGAAAGAGATAGTCCAGTCATCATGACTGTTCTCCATAATGGGCCCAGCTGAGTAAGATTGTTCCCCGCCTTGTACTTCATGACAGTGGAACAGATTCAATTTTCAAAATACTTCACACATGAAGTTTGCCTCAGGCAATGGATACTATCCAACGTAATATTGTCATGTGTTAAGGTATCTGTGACAGATAATTACTGGGCTGTGGCTTTAGACAAAGCTGTTTATTGGAGAATTACGCCAGGTGGAACTGCAGACAGTTATCAGACACAATAATTATAACACTTCGTAACTGAGAACAATGATCACAAGTTAATGTTCCTTGTAACTACGCCACATGAAGGCTTCTATCGGTTCCCCTCTTGCTTCTCTTGCTGATCACTGATCTGATCTCCGCCCTTATGTCACTTCTCTGCTTCTCTGTCGCAATCTACCCTCTTAAAACAGATCTTCGTGTACTGCTGAGAGAACACCTTGTCCAAGGGTTCTCTCTGTATTTGAAGCAGTGTTCACTAGCATATTCATTGCTGTGGGAATTTCCTAGATAGCAGTCTGCCTGTGTTTCGTTGCCTAGGAATTGCTAGTTGTTGACCAGCAATGGACACTGGTTGTCACGCACTGTCTTGATCTGAAGAGCAGCTGCTGGCAAGTCGATGTACACCTAGACAACAAGGAGGAAACAGCGTTTTCAACAGGTCAAGGGTTATGAGAGTTCACAGTCATGCCCTTAGGTCTCTGCAACACCCCTGGGCCTTCGAGAAGCTAATGGCGACAGTCCTGCGAGGTCTCATGTATAATTCCTATCTTGTGTATTTGGACGACATGTTCGTAATTGGTCGCACATTCCAAGAGCACTTCCTCAACTTAACGCCTAAAACTCAACCTGTGCCCACCAACACTTGAAGCTTGCCATGATGAAAACTCTGTACAATAAACTAGCCAGCTTCGCAGGTTACCATGAAGGGAACAATGTGTGGCTCTCATCATCCAACCTGCATGAAAGGGAAATCGCCAAGGCTTCAGTTTTCATGGGATGGCCCATTCAAAATGATCACCTGAATTAACAGTGTGGTGTATAGGATGCAGAACACTCAGATCAAGGATGGTGGTACACCTAGATCGGCTCACACCCTATGAGGGTGCCGCTCGGGACAAGCTCCTATAAAGAGGGAGCAGTGGTAGTAAGCCATAGAAAGGAAAGAATGGTCCCGAACAGCCTTAAGGGGAGAGCAGTGTGACAGGTGCACCCACTGCATAGAGAAGTGTCACTTCCTAGGTAACACATCGTCAAGACATTGCGTGACAACCAGCGTCCATTGTTAGTCAACAGCTAGCAGTTCCTAGGCAATGAAACATAGGCAGACTGCAACCCAGGAAATTCCCACAGCAACGGATACGCTAGCAAAGGCTGTGTCAATACGGAGAGAACCCTTGGACAAGGTGTTTTCTCAGGTATACGTGAAGATCTACTTTTAAGAGGGTAGATTGCAAAAGAGAAGCAGAGAAGTGACATGAGATCAGATCAGTGATCAGCAAGAGAAACAAGAGGAGAGCCGACAGAAGTCTTCGTGTGGTGTAGTTACAAGGAACACCAGAGTGTGATCATTGTTCACAGTTACGAAGTGTGATAATTGTCTGCCACCTGGCATAATTCTCCAATAAACAGCTTCATGTAAAGCCACAACCACAGTAATTATTTGACATTGATACCCAGACACGTGACAATATATATATACACAGTGCAACCTGCGTTTAATTTTCCTTGATTTGAGGTTTTCCTTCATTTAATCTTCAGTTTCAGTGACACCAAATCAAAAATCCCATCGATAAATTACTTCTGTACAAGGTTTTCCTTAGATTATGTTCAAATGTGCTGATCCCCAAAGAAATCTTAAGTGGAGGTTTCACTGTATGAAGACTCTGATGCACGCAAGAATTCCTATTGCACAGTGCAGAAGATATAAAAATGTATAACTCTTTCACTTTTAAAACTGTATAATTCAGTAAATGAGGCTAGATGTGCAACAGCGTGTGCAGAAGGGAAGTGTGTTTGTCTCTGTTTATGTAAGACAGGAGCAATGGGAAATGTTCATAATGCTAGTTGTGTTATATGCACATTATAATGGTTCTTTCCTTCATTGTCTTCCATTTGCTGTATTGTAAGCCTTGGTGAACACTTACACAAATATTTACTTCACTGAACTGTAAACTTTCCGGTGCAAGAAAGATATATTCTGTATTATAATATTTTAGTAAGATTACACTGTTCTGGGATACAGTGCAGCCTTGATTGGTAATATCTGTCTACCAAAGTACACGATGTTGTACCCCAGTTCACCACTGGGGAGTCTCAGATTTCACACAATATTTTAGCATGTTAGCCTGTAAATTCAGGCTAACGACTTCTGGTGACTGTGTGTAACCATAACTCGAATGATGTATTACTTTGGACATTGTCCATTGTCCATTGTCCTGTGTTTTTCAAACTCTGGAATTTCAGAAACTGGTTCTCTCTGTCATCAGGTGCAGAGGGGAGGGGGAGGTTATTTTGTTGATCTAGAACAAGGGTCTCCAAACTACAGCCCGTGGGTCACATCCGGCCCGCGAAAAAAATTGTGCGGAGATGCGCCAATTGAACTAATTTTCCAATGAGTACTGGTAAAAAAAATACTTGTTCATACATTTCAACTGATGTTTATAATACCTCTCAACTATTAGTATTTTTTCATGGCGTTGACAATGAAGTTAAATGTCACACAGGAATTAGTGTCACTTCACAGCATGCATGGCACTACAACAGGAGATGATATCTTCAAAGAAATACAAAAAAACACTAACAGAATTAATTTGGACTGGAACCGTCTGCAGTGCATAACAGTTGATGAAGGAAAAAACATGTCTGGTATAGAAATGTGTTTGGTTGGCCAAATCACAAAAGCTTGTGAGGATGCCAATGTTTCTTCACTGTGTTATTCACCAACAAGCACTCTGTGCAAAACACATTGATATGAGCTCTGTTTTAAAACCTGTTATTTTTATCGTTAATTTCATTCGCTGTCATGCACTTAACCATTGCCAGTTTCGGTCTTTTCTCGAGGAATGTGATTCAGAACTTATTGACCTGACATATTATATTGCAGTTCGATGGCTTAGCTGTGGAAAGGTTCTTTCACGCTTCTTTCAGCTCAGGAATGAAACTGATATATTTCTTACCGAGAAAAACCATCACTAACCACTTTTATCAGATACCGAGTGGCTTTGGAAATTAGCATTTTTTGCTGATCTGGTGAACCATATGAACAATTTGAATTTAAAGTTGCAGGGTGAAAATAACTTAGTCTGTGATTTATTTGAACTTATCAAGGCATTCAGAGCAAAGTTGATACTTCTGGAAAGCCAAGTGAAAAATTGTAACTTTGTTCATATGCTATACTCTGTGCAGAGTTGCATAAAAAGGGTGAAGCAGAATTTCCTTCCTCGTTTGCAGATTTAGTCATTTCAGATTTGAAAGAACAATTTCGGAAGCGATTTGCTGATTTGGATTCCAGTGCTCAGGAAATTAGATTGTTTCAAAATCCGTTTGACTGTGATGCTGCAGATGTCCCAAGCCAAATTCAAATGGAAATTATTGAACTTCAGGAAAATTATCATATTAAAGACAAATACAAGGAAGGAAATTTGATCGAATTTTATAAATTTCTGAACTCTGAGCAATTTCCAAATTTAAAGAAATTTGCTTGTAAATTTATCTCCATTTTTGGGACGACATATCTGTGTAAACAAACTTTTTCCCAGATGAAGTAGATCAAGTCGAAATACAGGGCAAATTTATCCGATGAACATTTAAAGTTGCTATTTGTGATTAGCGTTTCAAAATTTGAACCTCAATTTAATCAAATTTTAAGAACGCAAAAAGAGTTCCATCATTCACATTAATTGTTTTATTATAATTTGTGATGAAAATATGAGCATTTGCTGCTACTGTCTGTTGTCATTAATATACAATAATTTATTCTCACGTACTTTGTATTTAGTTTATGAAATTCTGTGCTTTCAATAAAAGTCATATACCTAGAATTATTAATTTCTCATTTTATCCGGCCCGTTGAAAGTGCTGAATTGCCTAATGTGGCCTGTGTTTCAAAAAGTTTGGAGACCCCTGATCTAGAAGATTAAGCTGGTCTCAGCCACTGGATGGTAACTGTGAGGGAATGATTCATGTTAGTTTTGTATATGCCCAGCAGAGTGGGAGATATTTCTCCCTTGCACCTGATAATGGAAGCAGAACTCTTCCAAAATGTTGTCGTTTGAAAAGTTTCAAGACAGTGGACAGCGTCTTCTATAGTATTTCTAGTTATGTGAGCCTTTTTATAACAGCATTAGTGCCACTTGTCTGGTGGTGTCATTTATGAAATATAATATTCTGATACTAATAATATATTTTTGTTACCAAATGAATGAATTCTGAAAACTTATTTAGGCTGTCATGACCTTACATGATTTATTTTCTGTGATTTCTGTATTATAAGACTTGAAACTTTTATGGTAACTGAAAGTAATAAAATTTGCCTTAGCTGGTGACCAGCTGTGTCAATTGAGAAAGAAATGTAAATGTTAATGGCAGATATTTTCTTTGTATTCAAAGCTTTTTCCATGTTCGAAGCTCCGAACTGGTGTGACCACCTGAGAATGTGTTTTAGTGTATTGTTCTACTAATGAATTTGTACAGTATTTAAGTGTATTTGATGTTGTATTATTCAGAATACTGTAGCAGACACTCTGCCACTGAGGGAAGACCTCTTTCTTGGCCTATAAGAGTTGATCATAGCCAGCGTTAAAAGAATTAAGTCTGGCTTGGTGACATGGAAAATGAATTTGAATGGCATGTTCACATCGAAGGCTTGAAAAATATGCCTTTTGGCTTCACATCTGTCTCTCTGGATGTAATAAATTGTGACTCACTGTACAGATTTTCTTTAAATTTAACATTCATTGGGTTTACTTAAGATTGTTGACATTTTTCAGTTGTGCTTAGGAACCAACCCTTTACATGGAGACCTACTTGCATGTCTGTACACATCTCGAGCATAACTCGCTAAATGTTTATCACACTGAAAATGTTTCAAAGAGAAGGTTTAGGTAAGAATGAAAACACGTTTTTCCATAAGTGTTTCAGTTCAGGATAACATGCCAGAATTGATACGTTATGTGTACATTTCGTAACCTATTTTAAGCTTTGTATCGGATACAAACTCATGTATTTATAATCCCTTCTGTCTATTCTGAATAGAGTGAGACATGGAATTTATATTTATGAGAATATGCCTTTGATTACACATAGAAATGTGGACACTATAACTGATGCAGTTAGATTTCTTCAAGCTTTCATTTGCTATGTGTTTGTCCTGTAATCCTAACATGTTGTGAAGAGTCGAATCATGCATGATTTTCTGAATAGCATTTTGTTAATGTATTACAACAGGCTAGTGATCTTTCATTGTATCAGTGTTGTTATGCTGTACCTTCAGTTGCTAGAATGCTGCTTATTCTGTATATGTAAAAGAGTAATGTAACAGTGAAACAGAAGCTCAGAAAGTACTGAATTTTTGATGTGGCAACAAATTGTCAAGTGTTAACACAATGCAGGTAAGTAAGTTAAGTAGTTGGTCTCGAATGGGGTGCAGTCCATTGTTTCATTGTATTGTGACTGTTCTGGAAGTTCTGATAATGTTTTGATGTTTATATGTGAAGTTTATATGTACAGCATATAAAAGAGATGATCTATCATTTTCTGTTTGTGCATGGTATCGGGTAGATGGAGTTAAATGTTGGCCTCTACATATCATTCAGTGACCTGTAGGACTGGAGAGGAGTACAGGAGAAAGAAGGGTAAGTTAGGTATTACTACAAAAGCTTAGACATCCATTGATGAGACTTGCCACGTACTTCTCCGCTAGGTTCTAACGTTAGCAAGTTCAGGAATAGCACCTAGGTGTCACATATATGTAGTGTTGCATTTTTTAAAACATCCCTCTTTTTCTAGGCTGAAAATAGTTTGCTATGAGCTCAAATTACAGGCATGTATATTTCCATGACTATAAAATATACGAGAATAATGTATATTTTTCTAAATGTTGTGAAAGTGAATAAAGAGGTACAGAATCAGAGTTTATCTAGACCATTACTTTTTAATATATTTGAAAACTCATTTCTTTAATCTATAATGTGCAGTTGTTACTACATGTACCATCTGCTGTAACATTAAAAAACTGCATTCTGTACTTCCAGTTCTCCTTACGGCTTCATAGTCTGGTGTTTAATTAGGTGTAGAGACTGTACTTTACCCTGCATTTTTAAATTTAGTTACATCTTTTCAGTGTATTTGGCGGGTTTTTTTTTTTTATTTTTTTATATTATTTTGTTTAAATAGTGCCTGAGGCAAACATCTTGCTGTAGTGCTCCAAGAATCATACATTCTGAACGGACACTGTCAAATAATGCCAGAGCATAGGCCCTAACAAAAAAAAAAGTAAAATGTAAGCAGTGGGCATTTATTTATAGAGAAGTTGGGTTGTGTACTGAGAAAGGCATTAGACCCGTGTGTTGACACAGGAGACCATGATTTAGCTTGTTAATTGATGGAAGAAGACAAGAAGAGAAGGAAAGAGCAAGCAAAATATTGAAAAGGGAGGGTAGAAGAGATGATTACTTAATCTGTGGACCCACATAAAGTGGAAACCGCACTAGAAGAAGATCCAAGGCATCATGTTGCATTTTATTTAATGGTTTAAATGAAATACTGTGCCAATCAGTTGATAAAATTAAAATTAAAAAACTCATATTATTGGACCATCAAACTCAGATTGAATGGGTTTCATAGTGGTAATGCCCAAAACTCGTATTTGGGAGGTGCTTGGTTCAAATTTCTGCCAGGTTACCTGCTGCCATAACTATGATGTTCCCTCAGCCCTTGTAGGGAAATGTCAGTATAGTATCTCAAGCCAGAAACGCTTGCTTCCAAATTATTTACAGTTGATCTATGATCCTACCACCCAATGGTATATAGTCAAGGTATTCACTGTCATAAAAATAATCCACAGCAGGAATATTCAGATTACAAGGATTCGGAATGTGGGTGAAATTATCAGCAGATCTCTTCCTCTTGACGTATTCTATTTTGCGCTACTTCCATATTGCTGCATTTCATTCCATGGGACCAGGTTGCATTAATGAATTCCGAAAATATTCAATCCGAAGTATCAAACGGTTCCTACTGTACTCTCTGGCGTTTCGTCATCAAGCCAAGACGCCATGATACCCATGAACAGAAAAACGAGGTAGTCCGTAGAACAAATTTGTGGTTAAGTGAAAGTGATGTGCAGTGTAAAAAGAATTTTGCCACACGTAAAAACTACAAGTGAGTGTACGTCAGGTGTGGGTACAAGGAGTTCACAAGGTATGTAGTTGCTCCCTTAGTATGATTATCAAACGTCTATAAATTTTTATTCGCTCTACCAGTCTCACAAAAATAGTTTTAGTCGGCAGACATTTTTCCATAGGCGAAAGCGCGGTTAGCCGCGCCGTTGGAACGTCTCAGCGCCAGTGTACTCATAACATGCAAGATAAAATATTCGCTCTTAAGTAATATTTACGTATGCAAGGCATCATATGTTCCGAATGTGAAGGAATTAAAAATAAAGCGAGAGATAATGTTCATGGGTAAATTCAAAGATTTAGAAATTGAGGTCTTCACAGCTATGGTAATGACAGGACGTTATATCCCAGGAGGGCCGCGCCATAGCTCAAGCGGTTAGACGCTGGCTTCCCAACGCGGCGGCCCGGGTTCGATCCCGAATCTGGTCAAGTGTAATTTGTAGTGGAAGAAGTGGCGCTGGGGCGGGATTTCTCCGAGTACTTCGGTTTTCCCTGCCAATCTTTATTCCACCAAATTCTCCATCATAATCACCCGGAGCAGGCTACAATAGGCCAGTCAGTGGCCGCCGTACCGAGTGGAGCCAGTTGGACTCCACCCTCCACTAAGCGAATTAAAAAAATAATTATATCCCAGAAGAT